CCTGTTCTAAAATGTTCTTCTTTTGTTTAAACTAAACTGTGTAACACCGCTTCCTCTTGAGTGAATGCTGTGATGAAACTTTCAGGGCTAGAAGAGGCTGGGGAGGAAGGAGATTTTGAAAGATAAAAGTAACCCAAAATTTTAATACTAACTTCAGGATTTTTTTTTGTAAACAATGCTCAGTATCTGTAGTTGTGCTGTAAATTTTATCAAGTTGGTTTCCTCACAAAAGATGTATTTCATTAACAGCCTGTGGCTGTTCCTTGCATACGCATGCCGTTGATAAGTACGATATGGTGTGAGTTGGCCTCATGACTCCCGTTTGTGGGGTGGTTTGTTGACGTTTCTAGTGTTTATACCTACATAGGTATTAGAAGAATGAGTCTAATCGCTTCAGTTACGATAAGGTGTGATTTGGATTTTATGATGATTTTTTTCCACCTAGTGAGAGATGCTGTTCCCTCTGATTGTCTCTTCATATTTGAAAGCAGCTGCTTCAGAGAGAAGAGCTCTTTATGCACTTATGTTTTCCAGCCATGGCTTTTTCAGTTAAGGGTGTGGTTTTGTCCTGACACAGTTGTGTTAGATCAGGCTCTCACATAAAAACACTTATCATGGCAAAAAGTCCTTTGACACCCCACTTATCTTTGGGCTGTGGTATGCTCCATTGGAAAGGAACTCTATGTGCTGAAGAGTTGTGGGTGTCAAGACTGTCTTAGGTTTTTCTCTTTTGTTCTTCTTTATAATTTTTTACTTTCTGGGCAGCCTGTTTGGATTTTCAGTGTGACTTTCCAGTTTATAGAAACGTTGGCAGTTCCCCAGTGTGTGTTCAGCTTAACTGTTAAAATTCCCTGTATGTACTGATTGCTAACATATTACTGGAGCTCTTACTGGAGAGTTCATCATGCCTTACTCCCAAAGGGTCATCTGAGGAAACTCATAAATAAATCTCAATGGCTTGTGCAAAATGTTGTCAAACACATCTGTTTCTAATTCAGAAATCAATACCTTTATCACCAGTAGCTGACAGCCATTAAAATAAAAAGTTACTGTTACAATTACATTAAAACAGTTAATAACTAGGCCTTGGGGAGGGGAGCTTTGGCAAGACACGGTGATCCCTTGGTAATGTTGTCTGTGCAGGCTGTTGGGGACCAGCTTGTTTCCAGTGTGAGTAAGAAACAGTGAAGAGAAGTAATTCTATATAGAATTAATTTGGAAATAGCTTTTGGTACTCTGAATTAGTGTAAATAATTAAATGCAAAATTATGTTTGCAAATGTGTGTACACTCTTCTTTAAATAAGACTGTGCATACCCATACACACAAGATGCAGCATTACACTTAAATATATTCTGAAAGTTGAATGCTTCAGCAGGGAGGAGCAGGCCGTTGGTTTCTGCTGGTGGCACTGGTGGTAAACGTGAACGTGATAGTTTCCCTGTGGTTTGCTCTGAAGTAAATACACATCTGGGCTGTGCTCAGCAGAATGCTGTATAAATTCTGAACTGCTCGAGTGGTTTGGTTTGTCTCTAGTTGCGGGCTTGCCCTTGCTCTTTCTAAACTTCCTCTGATTCCTTGTGATAAGCAGAAGGTGGTGAAATTCAGGCCTCGATTGGGCCAAGTGAGCTGTTATTTTAAGAGAGCAAGCTGTACGTTTGGATCTGCAAGCTCATTTTTCAACAAAAGCCTGGATGTAGAGGCATCAGAATAGCAAAGAGAGCTCAGAAGAGGGGTTGTGGAAAGTGGTAGTGGGCCTTCAAAAGCATTTTTGGGTGTGAAATGGCAGATGGCGCAGGCTGGAGGTTGTGATGAGGAAGAGAACTTTGCGGGTGTGCGTTAGGGGTCTGAGGCTGCCAAAGGAGAGGTGGCTCCTTTGCTGTAACAAAAAAAGGAAAGGAAAAAAAAAAACCCGACCATGGCTTAAAGCTAAGCTGATTGGGTTACAGTGGAATACTTTAAACAGCGCAGAGGTGTCTGTGTGTGTTTTATTTAGCAACTCAGTGGGTGGAAATCACTGAGCATCTAAAACTCCGAGTGTCTTGAGTGCTAAGATAGATTTCGATAGTAGAATCCTCTTCTGCGGAGTCAAATTTTTCTTCTTGTCTCAGTTCAGGGATTTCTTCATTCTGAAATAAGGAACGAGTTGGGTTTTGAAACTTATTTACTAATATAAGAATTAGGATGAGATCTGCTAGCTCTGAAGTCTTGAAGTAGAGAATTTTCTTCAATGATGTGAACATGATCTGCATTTGAAATAATTTATGTAAAATTGCCTGTTCTGTGCTGGTCTGTGTCTGAGGTAGTTTTAGCTAATAAATATGCAGGTAAATTCCTAATGAAATTAAAATCCACAAGCAAGTACAGTTTAAGACGAGTCACTAAGAAAAATCTAAAAATAGTAAAATAATAGATACATACATCAAATCAAAATTAACTCGTTATATATAACATGTGGATTAATCATTACTTAGATGAAGTTACATATAATCTTTCTTACTGCATAGCAAAAAGAATTACAGTGCTTGATAATAGCAGCAGATTCTAATGGTACTAATCCCTGCGAAACTGAAGATGCATAAGGAAATTGACTATGTAATTAAATCAGGGTTCTCCTTACTGTGTGAACTCCAATTCTGAATTGGTATTATTGAAATTAGTCTGTTTTGCCCTAATGGAATAGGGAGATAGTTTCTACTTTACTTCCCTAATCGGTTCTTCTGCCTCCCGGAAAAGACCTCCTGGCTCTTCTTGGTTCCTTTTCTTAGTAAAGTCACTAAATGTCGCAGTGCCAAAGGATTTCAACCTTGCATATTTTGTGTATAATGTAAATAATTGCAGTTTGCAGAACTAGCAAGCTATTCAGAGTTAAATATTCTTACAGTTTGTGGTGTTGACATTTTGTTTAATCGTGTATGATGTGCTAAGAAAATAATTTTCTCTGAAAAGGTTTATTTTTAAATTAGTACGATCAGGAGTGTGAGGTTTGAGTCTCAAGGCGTTGCAAGGGTGGCTTTATTGAACTGGTTGCTTGTAAGTGGAAGGCTTAAAAAATTATTTTGAAGAAGGATTTTGGAGTGAAGGTTATAATACTGTGCCCAGAAAATTGGGATAATGCTACTCAAAGGGATTCTTGTGAGTGAAAGAAGGATGTGCCTATGAGCAATACCAGCTGAGTTTTCAGCCTTTCTAGTAGATGCGTGCAGTTGCTGATTACAGCATTTAAAACTGATGGGAACCCTGGCCAGTGGGTGGGGGTTGTGTGTGTGTGTGTGCGCGCTTTCCAGATTCCAAAACCCACATGCTAATGTAGTGATGTGCGTGTTGTTGAATGAACCTAAAATAGATCTATTTGTGAAGAGCACGCCTCGGGTTTCAGAGGCAGTATTTCTGAGTTTGTCTCCAGAAATGTGTTTGCAATCTGAGCATGTTTTGGTGGGGCTGATCTTACATATTAATGAACATGTGTAATATCCTATTTTCCATAATGATTTAAATTCTGATTTGTACAAGATTCTTTTTATTAGGTCTGCTTTAACTTTTTAAGGAAAAGAAAAAAACAAACAACAAACAAAAACCCAACAACCCCAAAACAAATAAAAGCCCCCCCCCTCAAAAAAAAAACCAACACAACAAAACAACACCAAAACAAAACCATTGAATTTGGACCTCACTTGTCTTGAATTTATCTGTCTGTGAGAATAAGTCTGCTTTTCTAATCTTGTATTTTAAAATCTCTTTTATCCTCTCAAATACTGCCGTCCAATTGTGTAAACATGGTTTCTGTGTTTGGAAGCCATGTTCGTTTTAGATGGAACTATTGAATTATATTGAACTATTTACTCTGAAACAAGAAAAACATATGCAGTTCTTAATTATTTCCTTGCTTGATTGATTTATTGCTCTTCTCTGCCTCCTCTTCATAGGTTCCTTAAAACTGTGCTATGAATGGTGATTCCGGTGTGGGGGTGGTAACTTCACCACCTCCAACAACAGCCCCACATAAAGAGAGGTATTTTGATCGAGTGGATGAAAATAATCCAGAATATTTGAGAGAGAGGAATATGGCACCTGACCTTCGCCAGGATTTTAACATGATGGAACAGAAGAAAAGAGTCTCCATGATTCTTCAAAGCCCAGTAAGAAAATACTCCAACTTTAAAGTGATGAATTTATTTTATCTGTTTTTAATATCCCTATGGATTTGGAGAAATTTGTGGTATCTTAGATTCATTTGATGTTTTTTTTCTAGTTGGTCTTCTAAAGCATCCTAATTGTAGCCTAATTTTTCCTCACATTTTCTGATTGAATTTTGATTGTCTACTCATGAAGCAGCTCCTCAGTTTTGCTTTCAGAACTCCGTGTATAATCATCAATGTTTTTCCATATTGTCCATCTAGTCGTGGTCATTTTTTCACTTGCTTCATGTGTTTAGTAGTTATTTAAATACTTAAGTGAGAGTAGCTTATATAAGGCAGGTCTACCCTGTCCTCAGTTTTTCATGCATGGTTCAGGTATATGAAATATTTTTATATAACTCTTTCTCAAAGGCTACACAATAATAAACTATGGATGATTGAAATGTGATATTAAACGGGTTTCCCTCAGGGAGAAAGTACACAAAACAAAATTTCTCTCATAACGTTTGTTCCTTTTGTAATAGCTCATGGATGACTTCAGACTCAAAACAGTTCATGACACAGCTTCATTTAGAAAAAGGATGTAGTGGTATATTTACAGTTTTTTCTGTGTGAAATCAGCCCATTTTATTTAGATTCACTTCACAATTGGAGTACTTCTCTTTCAGTACAAATTCCAGTGTTATTGTGAAAAGCAGCAGCTACCAGCAATAGTAAAAAAAAAATCTTGTTTTCTTCCTTTCAAAGTTTAGAACCCAAAAATCCAAAAGAAAAACAAACAACAAAAAAAATCAACCAAGAAAAAAGCAAACAATTCTGTGTTTAATCATATTTTAAAAATTCAATGGTTATTCCTTCTGGTGTTTCTCGGTGCTACCTTGGCTCTCATTTCCCCAACGCTGATAATTTTCCTTCTCTTTTCTGGTTTCACTACTTTTCCTTTCAAGTTTTGTGTTCAAGTCAGTTGTCCATCCCACTCCTCCTTCTTCCTGAAATCCCTATTAGTAGATTCAATGAATTTGTGTTGCTTGAAGAGAGAATGAGGGATTTTCCGTTCACAAAAAGGTGACTCATATCTTTGAAGCTCCAGAGAGCAACGTTTTCAAGTAACATTTTGTACCTGGTAATATTGCCCAGAGCAGCAGAAGAGGTACAGGATGCTTCCGTCTTTGTGCTAAAAAGAAGCAGCATGTGAAAGGTTGAAGTTCATTTGAATGTGCTTTACAGTGTGCGCTGTCCCATTGCTAGGCTTTTTGTGAAGAACTGGAATCCATGATCCAGGAACAATTTAAGAAGGGGAAGAACCCAACAGGTTTATTGGCTTTACAGCAGATTGCGGATTTCATGACCACAAACGTACCAAATGTCTATCCTGCAGCACCACAGGGCGGAATGGCTGCGTTAAACATGAGTGAGTGCACCTTAATTTATAATAGTTGAATTATTTTTATTTTTTAAGACTAAAGATAAAGACGGTGTGAATGAAGTAAAAAGTACTGTGAAGTACAAATACAGTCCCGTTCTGCTCGCAGGAATGCTGCAAACGTAAAATGAATTTATTAGTTTGTAAATGCCACAGTAATATGAAATGTGATTCATGTAGATAATTTATATCAAAAGCTTTTCAAGCGTGGTTTGTTAATTGAAAATTAGGCCTGATAAGTCAGCACTAGTTAAAAATTTAAAGATGTAAATATTGCTAATGTTTGCCACGTGGATTGTCTGCAGGAAAATGAAACGCTCATTAGTAGTCCAGTAACAGTGAAGGTCTTTAGAAACTAGGTATTTTTTGTACTTTGAAATACTGGTTGCAGCTTGCTTCTGTGAAGTGAAGCTATGGACAAGAAGTGTCAGCAGGCAAAACAAAGAAGGAAAATAAAACCCAAAATGTGCAAATGCGTATACGTGTAGGTTTTTTGTTAAGATAATATAAATCCTTGCCTGTGTTCCAAACCAAATCTATCATTTAGACTGTGACATGATCTGGTTCTGCTTTATCAGTTACTTTTAACCACATTTCTAACTGCGCTGTAACTGGAACGACAGTATTTGTAATTCTTTACCATAATCCTCCTCTCTCTAGCTTTTACTTATTTTTTCCTAACTAAATGAGTTTATGTGCATCTTTTTACATGTGTAATTCTCCTTTTCAGGAATACCAAATCATATATCTCAAAGTGGAATATTTGGGGATGCTTCTTTCTGTTAACAATGAGGTTGTATTGTACAGTCAATTATAGGCTGAGAGAGAGAAAAAAATATTTTGCTAAAGACACCTCAGCACTAATGAATATTAAGGAAGGAAATGAATGCTGAGTCTACTGATGATCAATGGCCTTGTCCGAGACTGTCATTATATTTATGTAGTACAGATTATGACATTATGGTAATTAAAGTTCGCTATCCGTTTCTCAGGTTATTATGTTCATATAAACTTGTAAGAACAACCAATATTATAGCAGTGTATGTTGTTAGGTTTTAACTGATGTTGAATGTAACCCCCTTCTTGTGCTTTTTCACCACTTCTTTTCAGGTCTTGGCATGGTGACACCAGTGAATGATCTCAGAGGGTCAGATTCTATTGCTTATGAAAAAGGGGAGAAGTTGTTACGATGTAAATTGGCAGCCTTCTACAGATTAGCAGATCTCTTTGGCTGGTCTCAGCTTATTTACAATCACATAACAGTGAGTATTGAATCAACAGATAACTGAAGCAATTGTTTAACATACAAGAGAATTGCTTCCCTCCCCCATCTGTCATTTTCTCTTTGTGTGGAAGAGGAGCAAAGTGGTATTGAAAGCAGTATAATAGTGAAGAGATTTGTCATTGCATCTCAAGAATAAGAACTGGAACAGCTTGGATGTCAGCTGCCATAGTCTGAATAGAGTCTTAAGAGAGTGTACATGAAAGTTCTTATGATGAAATTAAGATTCCCAAAAGACTCGGTCTTTTAAGTACTTTAAATACTTTGCATAATTGTATGTATTATTTTGCAGGGTCATGTCTTAGTTTTCTTGCTAAGTACTAAATTTATTAGTCATTCACTTGGATTTAATCGTTCTAGATACCAACCTTTTTGAAAAAACAGCCATAGTATTTCTGAACACAAGCAAACTACTTAGCTTAATGCAGTGTGCCAACAATTTTCCTTGTGACTGAGTAATTGCTGGCATCCATAAAAATAATGACAAGGAGGTCAAATCAGGGAGGTTTTATATGCCAGAAGAATGATCAACATGAGTCTCATGAGTAAAGTCACAGCTGTGATGTGCAACCCAATTGTTTTCCTAACAGAGCTGAATTGTTTCTTTTTCTGCATAGTAGAGGTTGTCCTTTATGTATTTTCACTTCTTCTAGTTGCAGTCTGAATGAGATACCATAATTTTATTGTTGCTGCTTTTTGAGATTTCAAGGTATGGTATTTGTGAGCTGGTGAAGTAGATAAATGCTATGGGTAGGCATACGATCAAAGCAGTGTTGGCTAGATTGTCTGTTTCCTTTAGTAAGGGAACATATCCAACATAGTGGTTGTTGTAAACAACTCTGCCACCCCATGCTTTTTTCATACATGACAGGAGAATTGATTTTGTAAAAGGGACGTTAATGTGGTAAAAAGATTACTCGGAAAGCAGGTTTGGAGATGCCTTTCCAGTGTAAAGTTCAGCTCAGGGAATGTTTTTGTGTTTAGATAAAAATGTAAATGTAATGAAGATAGCATGCGTAGAAAAGCATTTATGGCAAGGCCATGTGATGGAGGTGGAGTGCTTCAAGTTTACTTTCTTTCGGTGGAGGGGAAGCGCAGGAAGACTAATGGATAACGGTGATACCAGTTGAGGTGGAAGACAGTCAAAACACTTGGAGTATGGATTCTGAAACTATTTTAGACAGTTTTAAAGGGAGAAGTAGTACTGGAAAGCTCTTGGTTAATGGCCTATCACTGGCAATCACAAGTCGTAGTTCAGCTGTCTTTTACAAACTCATCCAGTGAATAACATTCTAAAAGGTGACTGATAGATCTAATTTACCTTCAGAAGCTGATCTAGAACAAGGTTGTCATATACATAAAATAGTCCTGACTTTGTTCCGTATACCTATACATTAAGTAGTAGTGCGGTAGTAAGGCACTCCTTTGGAATGTGCTGAGTGCCTACCACTTCATGCAGCGCTGGAGTTGGACTCCAGGTTTTCAGTTTTTTGTGAGTGGGTGCTATAATTACTAGATGACTTCATTCAAGTTAAAAGCTGCTAGTGCATTTTGCGAGTAAAAGAAAAGAAAACAACAGCCTTCTGTGAGAGACATAAGCATGTGAGTTAGAGGAGAAAGGAATTGAGAGGATATGAGAGCATATGCCAATCTGGACGTATCAGGGAATTGGGTGGAGTATCTTTGCTTTTCTGGATCCTTCTCAATCACGGACAGCTGCTGTGTGAGGAATTGTTCAGATTGGTGTAGTCCTGACACAGAAGCTGAATTACAGAGTGTCAAGAACTTTCATGTCAAGTACATTAATGTAGAGTAGAGTTGGATGCCTCCAGGGTTAGGCAGAATTTGAGCTTGCAGGTTCACAGAAGGTACAGAACATTCAGCAAGTCTTGATTTGCTTTGAGGGCACGAGCCGTTTATCGAATCTAATCCTAAAGTAGATTGGTTTTTGAGTCTTGCTGCTTGTTTATCTTATGTTTGAGCCTTTTTATTTGCTTTTGGGGCATTTTGAATATTATCTGTCCTTTGTCTTGCAGAAATAAGTAAAACATTTTCTAGATCACTTACACTTCTGTAATGGAGAACTGTTTTGCTGATTCATAATACAGGTTAGCTTGAACTAACTGGTGCAGCTTAAGGCTCTTTTGCTATTTCATGTAACCAGCTGGTTGTAAAAGAAGCTAGATTTGTACTAGAAGCTTTTGGATAACTGATTAAAGTACTTTTTCTAGAAAAATCTTTTTTCCCTTGCAGTAGAGCTATGTCAGAGTATGTGTGTATATGCGTATATATTTAATGTTGCAAGTAGTAGAAGGCGGGAGGGAGCATAAAGTAGCTGCATCTTGGGGAAATGGGAAACTTTATTTATAAGTTTTTAAAACATTAAAAAAAAACCAACACAAAAACTGGGTAGACTAATAGCAAAATAGGGATTTGTCTCACATGTCCAGTAAAACATTTGAAGCCTTTTAGTTCTCCATTGCAAGACACCTAAACTAACTAGCCATCCTGTACTTCTCATTGTAGAGAATTTAAACAGATGCAGCCCAATGGTTTGAAGTCATAATTATTTTTGTATTATAAAATCCTAATTGGGAATTAGGCAAAAGAGCAAAAACACAAGTAAGGGTGAGGATACTTGGTAGAAAAACCCAGAGGTGTGCTGTGCTGCTCACAGATGTCTCATCTCACATAGCACCAGCATCATGATGAAACCTTCTCAGCATCAAGATGTTTTAGATCTGCAGGCCAAATTCTTACATTTTCTCACACACTTCTTTCATACCTTTTGTTTTACTGGGGCAGAAATACAGTTGGACTATAAACTCTTTCTTCTAAAATAAGAGCCCAGTAACTTTCCCCACACGCTTCTCACAGTATCATTCCTTTTATCTGTAGTAGTCTAGTTGTCATTACCACTGGATCTCAGGATTTTACTGCCTTCTACCAATCTGAAGGACTCTGGCATGTATCTACCATCTGGTTTTGTTCAACGTGAGTTCATTAACTGTGCTGTCTGCTGATTCTGTTGCAGCATACATCGTAGTCACATTGCATATGTTATAGGCATACTTTTCCACTCCATACTCAGGAAGTGAAAGTAACTTTCATGGTTTTGGGCCACCATATATCCTTTAATAAAATATTCTCAATAACCTTTACTCTTGTTTTATTCTTAGGCCAGAGTAAATTCTGAGCAGGAGCACTTCCTCATTGTACCTTTTGGACTCCTCTATAGTGAAGTTACAGCATCTAGTCTGGTAAGCAATTACTGTTTCTCACAGCTGTAAAATATGAGTAGCTGAATCTGCTCTGTCTGTATATCTATCTGTCACTGTTTGAATTCCATCCTAGAGAGTATTCTACTCTGTGTTACATGTTTAGGATAGTTTTACTGAACATGGTTGGTTTTGGTACAGCTGAGGTATCTGTGAGATCTCTTTGCACATGTTGACCACCAGGTGTCCTCCAGTTGATGTAGCTGTAAGGAGGAGCCAGGTCATTTGGACAGCTGATCACACCCACCGTGCCCTTGAAAACTGCTGGCTGTAAGGTCAGGCATGTCAAGGGAAACAGTATGTGTTTCATACATGATGCAAACCAACTACAATTTCAAGATACTGTGTCAGACACCGGATTTAGTTGCCATTGTTTAATGATGAGAGTTTAGAGATGTTGTTTTTGAGATCTAGTGGTTGCAGTTGAAGACACAACTCCCTTAACTGCTAGCTAGTGGGAAGCATTTTGTGAGTGTTTTATCTTCAATCTAGTCTACACTGCTGCTGAAGGCAACTTGAGTTAATGTGGTTGACTCTCTTGTGTTGAAACAAAATAGAAAATATAAAATTTCGTCCTGTTCTTTCCAACTGGCTATTGTAAGGTAAGTGACCTCTAGCAGAGAAGTGAGGTAAATATGTGCAGAGTAGTAACATTTGAGATTTGTCACTCTTGACACCTTAAGGTCCCAATACTCCCCCCTCAGCTATCTGCAAAGTTGGCTCTCTTGTACACAGTTCCACTGTAACTATCTAGAACTTTAATTGAAAAAGCTATAGGAAAAGAAATGGAGAAGACTGAAACCTACCCTTTCTTATTACTACATTATTTTTAAAAGAGGGTAAGGGGCATGCTGTGGGGTTATTTTGTGTGGTTTGGATTTTTTTTTAAGGCATTTTGCTTTTATCTCTATATCAGGAATGTAAGTACCTTGAGAAGGGAGGTCATGTGAAGGTAATGAAGTACACACACATACGCACAGTAGAGAGCATGTTCACACAGAAAATAGCTAGCAGCAGGATTTAATAAGAAGATAGACTACAGTGATAAGGAACATAGCTTAGCCAGATTAACATGCTGACCAGCAGCCTGCTTACATGGCTGGCCCTTTATTGTCCCTTTCTCTCCATTTCTCCCATGCTTGTTCTTCCCTTCTCCACTTTGAAACTCCATTTTCTCCAGTCTTGTTCTCTCCCAGATAACCCATGCATAATTACTCTTTC